CACCCCCATTTAGATCTTTAAAAAAAAAAAAAAAAAAAATGACACAACAGCCCCTTAATACCCATCCACAGGCACAACCTGTGATGTGACTCAGCCTGCTCATACAATCAGAGTAATCTATGGCAGCAGGCTCCAGCCCACATTAACTCACATCCAGGCTGCAGACAGACAAAACAACAATACTGATTTAAAATGAGAAGGGAGAAAGGGAGTGGAAGACTTCCCATTTGCAAGCTCAGGTCAGCTAATGTTGCAGCTGTTTCACCCCTCCATTCCTATCTGACAAAATGGAAACTAAGTTGGGGTAGCATACCCCAGAATCAAACAGCTGCTAAATTACCAAGGTTTAGTTTCCACTTATTACAGTGAAGTGTGGACCTATAGGAGCGTAGGGCTGGAAGGGACCTCAGGAGTTCATCTAGTTCAGCCCCTTGCTTAAGGAAGAATCATTCCTGACTAAACCATCCTAGACAAGCATCTGTCCAACCTGTTCTTGAAAATTTCCAGGGTTTGAGATTCCACACCTTCTCTTAGGTAGGCTTTTCCAATACTTACCTACCCTCATAGTCAGGACGTTTTTCTTTATCTCCAACCTAAATTTCTCCTACGGTAATTTGAGGCCATTGTTCCTAGTCTTGTCCTCTATAGCCACAGAGAATAGTCTATCTCCATCCTCCTTATAACTATCATCAGGTATTTGAAGACTGTTAGCAAATCCTCCCTCAGTCTTCTCTTCTCTAGACTAAATAACCCTAGTTCTTTCAGACTTTAACTATAAGTCATGTTTCTCAGGCCTCTAATCATGTTTGTCATTGTCCCCAGGACTTTTTCTAATATGTCCACATCTTTCTTGAAGTGTGGAGTCCAAAACTAGACACGGTACACCACGAGAAGCCTCATCAGTGCCAACAGAGCAAAAGAATCACTTCTCTGATTTGCAAGTGATGCTGGTTAAGAGAATCTAGTGTTATGTTTCGTGAATAGGTAAGAATGAACTAGCTAAGCTGAGACTGAAATGCAGGACATCCTGCCTCCCCACAATTGATATCATTGTTTCAAGTATCTATATCCAGTTATACATACCAGTGTCTTTGTAGTATAAACCATAAAAAGTCCTGCTTAAGGGACAAGCGTGTTCATCCACAGAACAGGTAGAACACAGGTCCACCCGCTGCTGACCTGGCACAACCAGCCATTGCTTGAGATGAAAATGAAGTCTGTTATTTTTTAAGGTCAGCAGAGAAGGACAAATGTGATTACATCAAACCTCCCCGATAGCTGCCAGAAGTGCTCCTCTTACCTCTTGTCAAAAAAGGCATGGACAATTTTTGATCTAATTGGGTTGAACTCTAGGTCAGGGATGTTGTCAAAATGCTCCTTGCTGTAAAACAAAAAAGAAAACATGGAGGAATCAGCTATGCATGGATGAGTCTGAGCATAAGGGAACAACAACTTCTGATACCACTTTAACATAGGAGGACTTGGAGCAGGGAAATCCAGCTGCATTTATATCTCAAGACCAGTTGATCCTTAAGGCAGAGATGGAAAACTTTTATGCAGCCAGCGTCTGCAAGGGCAGACCATCGTTAGCCCATTGCCTGGGGTTTTTGTGGAACGCACATATGGACATTGATTAGGCTCTAACTATGCCAACTAACTGCACATGGGTGGCAATTGTATGCCTTGCTCAGTCTCCTTATATGTTCTTTGAAGGGAGGCAGAGGGAGGAACTGACGGGATTTGCAGGGGGAACCTCTGCCATTTCTGAGCCATAATTGCTGTGTGATTTCAGAAGATTTGGGTTGTGGGGAAGCATGGTGGGCAGGAGGAATTTACCCTTGATGTTGGCACTGTGTACTGAAGTCTTTATATCACACGCTGCTTGCCCTGGAGCTGAAATTCCAAACCTGCACTCAGACAAATAGCTGTCTGGGCTGATGCTAACCTGCACTTAAAACCTTCCAGTCGCAGAGAATCTGCATCCTCAGGAGATAACATGTTTCAGTGCTTAACTACTGGCTCTGAGGATAGCTAGCACCAGAGCCCATGATTGCAGCTGGCTGGGGAATCTGTGATTGCCTAACCTGCACTTTACAACTTCCAAACACTTGACTGGGATGGTTCATACAGGGGGATGAACTAGATCCACGGTGCCTAGACTTTTTGCCCCGCAGGCCATCCAGGTCAGTCCGTGGGCCTGAGCCAGCTGTGTGGGACCTGGAGATTCAGCAGCAGGGGAGTAGCAGCAGTGTTAATTGCCACTGCTCCCACACCACCAAATTTCCATGTCCATGGGGAGCCCCATGGGACAAATGACATGGTGCCATGGGGCAGATCCGGCCTGTGGGCTGGAGGTTGAGCACCCCTGAACTAGAGGACCTGACGAGGCCCCTTTCAGCCCTATTTTTTAAAGTTCCAACTTCACGTGCCCACAAGACTAGCACTCACCTTTATCTTAAGCCACACACGAAACACATTTAGTGACCTCAGGTTAATAACTGGGAGACCTGGCTGAAAATCTTCTGACTAGATGTTATCTGTCAAACAGGAAAACCTTTTCATAGGTTAAACTTTCTGGGGGGATGGGGTGATTTCAACACAGCTTCCTTTTAAGAGAAGTTAAAGACAGTGATTGGATGAGGCGATGCTCTGAACAGAGGGCCTTGATTTTTCAGCTCAACAATATTTTACAGAAGTAATGACATTGGCATAACCTATTTCAATTCCACAGAATCTGTTTTCCAGTTAACCCCAAATTAAATGATTTCTTGGTGAGCTTCATCGTGAGATTTTTTTTCCAAATCAGGATGAAAACAAAGTTGGAAACATTAAAAGTTCCTGCAGAAAATAAGTACTAAGTTTTGAACTAGCTCCACTACTGTTTGTCCCTGTAAAACAGAAGCCACAGCAGTTGCTCGAGACTGGTCAAAGAGGCAGGCAGTGCTGCACAAATGGTAGCAGAGCTGTATGGAGCATCAGGACCGAACCAACAAAAGATGCTGCAGGCCAGAACTGAGGAGTATTGGGGTGGTCTGTGCAAGGACAGCATGTAAGTTGTGCTTTAATGTTCTACTCAAACCATGACTCCCCTTTCTCCGCTTTCATTAAGTGCAAAACCAGGTTCACCTCTACCTCAAGAAGACCCCCCGTTAAAGCGATACATGACCAGCAGCGCGCGTGGAGGTGGTAAACACCACTCAGGTACTGGACAACCCCAACAACTGACAGATGAACGTACTGTGATCACTGGCACAGGAACAGTCAGATCCTACCACTGAATCAAGACAGTCAGGTGTGCTAACAATGAAACCCCCTTCCATCTTGTATACACAGAAATTCTCATGGAGGGGAAATTCTCACCTTACTTTAATCTCTTTGGTAACATGAAGTTTTCCCAGTGCCCTGTATGGTCCTCTCCACACATCCCAGATCAGTCCCTTCATCATGGATCTATCCTACAATGGGAGCTGAGGGAGCTCGTCACCCAGTAGCATCTGATCTTGCAGAACTGCTGCACACTTTGTTCTCCTCGGGGTTAAGAGCCACTGTAGTTGTGGTCCACTCACTATAGGGTTGAGAAAATAGCGTCTCTCTCACTTCCTCCCTCAGTTCTTGTGGTGTCACTCACAATACGCTGTGCTGAGCTTCTTCCTTTCTCCTGCTTGCCTATTCACTCAGCTTCCTTTCTGACTTTTTAACCCCACGCTCCTGGGTAAAAATACAGACCATGCAAAGGGCAGCTTATTAATACAGTATAGCATGAAAACAAGGCTGTTTTAGTCTCCCTGTTACAAACTGCTGATATTTGGTGCTTCTAAAAGTCTCAGCTCCTGCAGCTATGTCATAATGAAGAAAGCTGTCATTAAAAAAAAAATGCCTAGCCCTCATTTTTGGGGCAGAAAACTTTAAAATAGGAACGCAAAAAAAGCACCAACTTTGCAGGGCTGATACAAAGAACCTGACACCTATTATTTGAAGTTGCACAAACTAGAGGGAGCCTTGACTCATGAGTTTCGGCCACTCAGCATTTAGAGTAGTATAGCCAACTCCATCGCTGACCTGGAGCTGCAAGTATAGGCCCCTGGGGAGCAGCTAGGATAAGAGGCAGAGAGGACCCTGCTTTCCACTATGAGCATGGGGGTACTCTTCTGTCTGCTCTCCTGGGGAGTATTTTTATTTCACTGCCACTGTGGCCCTTCTTGCATGACCTGCTTGCAGGAAGGGCTAGGAGGAAGCTGTGGCTACACACACACGGGTGTGCATATATCACGCAGTGAGCTAACAAGAGAACAGACCCTGGGGGACAGTGTGAATCATCTCTAGAGATAGCACTTGTAATTTTCCTACCTTTCTGCAGCTGGCGTCAGCTGCTACTGTCTGGATAGTGATCTGCAAGCGCCTAATGAGAATCACAAACAGTGCTCTAGGGGAGAGGTAAGGAGCAGGCCTGGCTATATTTGGAGAGAGAGAGAGAGAGAGAGACCTCTCCAGAGCAGCTCATTATCCCTGAGACGGGATCTCTTATCAGGGTGTTTTGTTAAGTCTTGGGGGAAGGGAAGGCACCTGCCCAATTTACAACCTTCCTCCCTGCCTTTCATTAGAAACATGACATGCAACATGCTTTAGGCAGCTGAGCTCAAAGAAAAGACTTGAAGCCAGTCACTCAGAACAGGCTAACCTAGTTTCCCTACAGCAATCACTGCTCTCAAGAAGAAATGGGGGTGTAAATCCCAGTTGGGGCTGAAAAAGCAGATGCAAATCTTTCAACATAAAGACTCACAAGAAAAACTCAAAGTGGGAAGGAGCTGGGTTCGAGTAGGGGGCTGGGTGTCAGGAGTCTCAGTCTGTCACAGGACATATGTGGAGCTGGTATTATGAACAACGTAGGATCCAATTTTGTAGGTGTTGTATGTAGTTGGGTTAGCAAGGGGAAGTTACTGTAGATGGGTCTTTGAATTTCCTGTATGACTACTGATCCAAATCTTAGTGCGAGTCAGGAGAACATTTATTATATGTCTCTAATGCTGGAATTCAATGGTGACTATTCAAGAACACAACGCAAGGGCTTCTCATATAAGAGCACCCCTGCAGACAAGTACAGAACAGTCATGTACTGCCAGACTTCAGGCCAAAGAAAGACAGTAATTTTGCCAAGCTGGGAGCATGGGGGTCAAAAAGGCATTTAGGACCACCTTCTCTTCCTTGGAGGGCTTTTCAGCTGCCAGTGAGCTCTGGATGGGAGCCAGCCTGACATACAGAAGCTCTGCAGAAGAATACATAGAGTTCGTTCTTACAGTGTCCCCCCTGGGGAAGATGGGGAAAAAACGGTCAGCAAGACATCTGAAACAGTATGTAGGGCTGTAAGCACAGGGCCTTTCTGAAATACTTTTGGTGTAAATGAATGGTACAGTGCTTTAAATGGTACCTTAATTTATCACTGCCATTGTCCCCAATGGAACAGGCCTCTAGGGTCATACCTGAATCAGACCTGCCCAGGTACTCACTGCCTGACCTGTGAGAGTCGGGGGGGGTGGCGGCAGATTGTACTAATGAGACTGGGAGGGCTCGGAGTAGCAGTTTGCTCAGTAACTGTGACATCCTGGTCTGATCATCAGCCCACTTCCCAATGCTTTCTTGAAGAGCTTGGAAGATTTGGAGTGAGGCTATGGTGGACATAGACTCACGCAGGGGTTGGCAGTGAAAAGAGACTTAGTCATCTGCTCCATGGGGGAAATCTACCCCAACTGACATCCCACAACAAATGAGGCATCATGAACTCTGGGCAGCTCACTTAGGAACAGGCATCCCACATCTGGGGCTCTGGTACAACAATGTCTATTTTAACTATGGATTGGTGAACTTTTTTGGTTTAGTTTATTTACTAATAAAATGCAATTTGGGTAGACCTAAAACTACACTCAGAGTTTGGGGCAAATTCACAACCTTTTAAGTGGGGGGAAAAAAAAAAACCAGACTAATTTCATAAACCAGAAGAGAATAAGAAGGTGGTTTGTCTCGTTGCTTCCTCCGTGACTCAGAAGCACAGTTGTTCGGGTAGTCACTACCTCAGGGGACTTGAATCAATGGCTTCCACTAGCCAGAAGAGCACCCTGTCAGGTTACTGTGTATTCTGGGGCGAAATGGGTCTCTCTGCTGTTGAAGCCGTTCCACTTCACATAGAGTAATTTGAATTTCCAGAGCAAGTTGGCAAGAATGTACCCAGGGCCCAGTCCCTGCTGCAGTGATCCTACTTCCGTTCTCCTCGGAGGCAGGAAGCATGGCTTCAAGTGCCCTGAGGCGGAGGAAGGATCTGAACCTGGCTCTCTCACAAGGAGGTAAGTGCCGTGATCACCAGGCTCCTGCAGAAAACCCCATCTCCTC